AAAATGCTTAACCTAGAGTATACCTCATGGACAATGTTTATGGACATCAAATCCTGCATGAAGGAGAGGACATTTTTAATTCTCTAAGGAGTGTGACCCTAGAATCTAACCTTCTCAGAGAAGAAGGATATCCTAGGCAACACTCACACTTAACCCTGAATTCTTAAGTGTATAAGTTCCCAAGTTTGAGACCCTGAGATTCTGACCTTATAAAGATAGAAGGGCATTTCCTGATCCAGAAAGCTCATTGGAGAAAGATGAAGATGGTCTGCATAAATAGTTACTGTGCAGTGTCCTATGTGCAGAGAAAATATAGTGAGTACCTTGGACAGTGCAGGTCCGATGGACAATGGATTCTGTGTTAGCCCCAAAATATGTTTAACTTTTTTTTTGGGGGGGGTGAGGCAGTTGGGGTTAAGTGACTTGCCCAGAGTCACACACAGCTAGTTAAGTGTTAATGTGTCTGAGGCCAGATTTGAACTCTGGTCCTCCTGACTCCAGGGCTAGTGCTCTGTCCACTGCACTACCTAGCTGCCCCTGTTTAACTTCTGAATCACAGAGTATCATGAGTCTAGGGGAGAAAGGATAAGAGTCTGGGGGAAAGAAGGAATTACTATGATATCAAAGGGTGGCCTCAAGAACAACCTTCACCTCATCCCTTTTCAGGGGACCTCATGGGCTGTTCAGTCTTGTGTGTTTGTCTGTTTGTGGATATCTGTGAATCCTCTGCACCTTCTTCATTTTTGATACCTCAGGGGCTTGCAAGAGAGCAAGTCATTCACATATGAGGACACCAAAAAAAGCAGAAGCATTTTGGGGAGGGGGGGATCCTAAGGGCTTGAGAGGATTGCCTGAGGACAATATGAGTCAGCAGTCTGATGGGCCAGCCAAAAGAGTCAATGCTACCTCGGGGCATATGAGGAGAGGCACATATTCCAGGAACAAGTTGGTGACAGTCCCGGTATAATCTCTTCCTTGGACAGATCACATCTCAAGTGCTGTGTTCAGGTCTAGGCATCATGGTTTAAGGAGGACATTCATGAGCCAGAAAGTGTCCATAGAAGGGCAACCAAGATGGCTACAGGCTTTGAATCTATCTCATATAAGGAGCAAATGAAGGAATTAGACATATTGAGCTTAGAGAAGAGGAGACTTGGTAGGGTGATATAAAAGCCGTTCTAGTATCAGAAGGGCTGACATGTGGATGAGCGTTTAGAGTTATCCTGGCTTCCCCCAAAGGGAAAGACCAAAGGACAATGGAGGGGTAGAAATTCAGGGATTTTTTGACTGTTAGAACTTACAGGGATGTTTAGGGATCATCTAGCCTACCCATTCCTTCCTTATACAGGTGAGAAGATTAGCCCAAAATAGTCAAGTGAGGAGGTCAAAAGTGACTAGGGACAGTCTCAGGAAAAGAATGAAAATCACAAGTAAACAGCACAATCTCTTGGTTCACTTTCATGGTGGCACTGATGTGCTTAGAAAGGAAGGGGTTGGACCTTCTGCTTCTGGGAGCCAAGATGGTGGAGTAAGAAGTAGCTCTTACCCTCCGTTGTTAACCTCTGAAAGCCCAGAAAATATCACCCCAGGAAAAAACCTGGAATAGCTGAACCAGAAGAAAGATGGGGTGCAGCAGTCCAGTAGCCCAGGTAGCTTGAGAGATTAATGGGAAAGGCCCCTATTGCCCTGGGGTTAGGGGAGCAGTACAGAATGTGAGGCATCCCGGCAAGCTAGCAGAAAGCCCCACCTCAGCATACTAGGGGAAGATCCTGAAACACAGGTGGTTGAGCAGGCAAACACCAACACCTGGACCCCCTAGTGCCTCAGTGAGGGTGGGGGAACTGTTGGAAACCAGCTTGGAAAACCACCAGGTGCCTCAGCAAAAGTACTATCCACTATCAGTGGATAGAGTACCAGCCCTAGATTCAGGAGGACCTGAGTTCAAATCTGGCCTCAGACACATAACACTTACTAGCTGTGTGACCCTTGGCAAGTCATTTAACCCCATGCCTAGACACAACAAAAAAATAAATGAATAAATAAGGGAAGCAAGCTCCAAGGGCCCCAGATGGATAAACATCCTGCAGCACCATCTGAAAGGAGCTGAAGAAAGCAAAAGGAAAAGAAAATCAGGCACCTCCAGGGGCCAGACTACCCAATCCAACCCCTAGAGTCCCAGTGTTGCTCATTCCAGCCCAACACCAGGTAAGCTGCCAGAACCCTACAGCCTCCAACTGCCAACATTGGAGGCCCCAGCACACAAAACCAGTGACCAAGGCCTTAGGCTCCCAACATAAGAAGCTTGGGTCAGTGCCCTCTGCTCCCCAGCAGGAGAGCCCAATCTCTTTAAAGGCCAGGAAATAAACACACATGAGCAAAAAGAAACGTACGATAGATTCTTATTATGGGAAGAGTAAAGATCAAGGCAGAAATTCTGAAGAGGACAACATTGTCAACAAACCCACATCTGGAACCTCAAAGGGAATATGAACTGGTCTGAAGCCCAAAAAGCCTTCTTAGAAGAGCTCCAGAAGGGTTTTAAAAGTCAAATAAGAGAAGTAGAAGAAAAAATGGGAAAAGAAATGAGAGGTATGCAAGAGAGAGTCAATAGCTTGGAAAAAGAAGGACAAAAATTAACTGTAGAAAACAAGTCCTTAAAAAAAATACAGTTGGCCAACTGGGGAAAAAAGTACACTGAAGAAAACAAGTCCCTAAAAACTACAATTGGCCAAATGGGAAGGAGGTACAAAATCTAACAGAAGAAAACAATTTGTTAAAAAGTAGAATTGGGCAAATGGAAGCTAATGACTCTGTGAGAGCCAATCAGCAATAATCAGTCAAACAAAAACAAAAGAATGAAAAAATAGATGAAAACATAAAATACCTCATTGGTAAAACAACTGACCTGGAAAATAGATCAGGAGAGATGATTTAAAAATGATTGGCCTACCTGAAAATCATGATAAAAAAAAAACAGCCTGGACAGCATCTTTCAGGAAATCATCAAGGAAAACTGCCTGAGGTCCTAGAACCAGAGGGTAAATAGTCATCAAAAGAATCCACCAGTCACCTCATGAAAAATCCCAAATTGAAAACACCAAAGAATATAGTAGCCAAATTCCAAAATTACCAGGTCAAAGAGAAAATACTGTAAGCAGCCAGAAAGACACAATTTAAATATCATGGAACCACAGTCAGGATTACACAGCTTCTACATTGAAAGACCATAGGGATTGGAATATGATATTCCATAAGACAAAGGAACTTGGATTACAACCAAGGATCAATTACCCAGTGAAAATGAGCATGATCTTTCAGGGGAGGAGATGGACATTCCATGAAATGTCCTTCCAACCAAACCTTCCTGATAAAAACCAGGAGCTCAACAGAAAATTTGATCTTCAAATACAAGACTCAAGAGAGACATAAAAAGGTAAACGGGACAAAAAGAAACATGTTATTAATAAGGTCAAACTGTTTACACCCCTACAAGGGAATATGACACTTGTAACTCTTGAGAACTGTATTGTTATTACATCATATTAGAGGGGTATACATAAAGGGGTGGGTATAAGTTGACTTTGTTGTAATGTTAAAAGAAAAAATCTAATCAAGTGGGTTAAATGATCCAAGTCAGTGGATTAATCTGATCTAACTAAGCAAATGTACTGAGAGAAAAGGAGGAGGATACAGACAAGGGTAAATTACATTACAGGAAAAGACACAAAAACTGATTACAGCAGAGGGAAGGGGGGGGGAGATGAGTATTGTTTGAACCTTACTCTCATCAGATTTGGCTCAAGAAGGGAATAACATAATCAGTTAGGTCTAGAAATCTAACTTGCCCTATAGGCAGTAGGAGGGAAAAGGGGAAAGAAAAGTGAGGGGGCTAATAGAAGGGAGATGGGACTGAGGGAGGCGGTGGTCAAAGGCAAAACACTAGTGAGGAGGGAAAAGGAGAAAGGAGAAAGAAAAGCATAAACGGGGGGGAAGGATGGAGAGAAAGACACAGATAGTAATCATAACTGTGAATGTGATATATAAATGTAATGGAATACTATTGTGTTAAAAGAAATGAACAGGTAGACTTCAAAAAAACCTGGAAAGATTTTTATGGTCTGATGCTCAGTGAAGTAGAACCAGGAGAACATTACACACAGTAACAGCAACATTGTGCAATTACTGATATTGATAGACTTAACCCTTCTCAGCAATACAAGGATCTAAGACATCTCCAAAGGCCTCATGATGGAAAATGCTATCTGCATCCAAAGAAAGAACTATGGCATTTGGATGCAGATCAAAGCATACTATTTGCTATTTTTTTTTCTTCTGTGTTTTGTTTCCTCTTTCTGGTGGTTCTTCCTATTGGTTCTAATTCTTACAACATGACTAATATGAAAATATGTTTAATAGGAATGTATTTATATAGTCTATATAAGATTATGCACCATCTTGGGGAGGAAGGTGGGGAGGGAGGGGAAAAAAATTTTAAACTCAAAAGCTTATGGAAGTGATTGTTGATAAATCAAAATAAATTAACAGTTTAAAAAAAGATTAAAAAAAAAAAGAAAGGAAGGGGTCTGTCTGGGCCAAGGCATCCATCGCACCCCCCCCCTTCTCTTCACTTCCAGGCCCCAGCTGCTGAAAGGTTGGCCATCAATAAGTTTATTTTCCCCAAGGTAGAAGCAACACAAGGGATTATTCAACTTGTTTACCCATCTCTGTCTTCTACACCTGAGCTTTATTCCCTTGGAAGATGCAATTTATCATGCCAAGGGATTTGATCTAAAATGAAAATAATCTCTCCCTCTCTCTCTCTCTCTCCCTCTCTCTCTCTCTCTCTCTCTCTCTCTCTCTCTCTCTCTCTCTCTCTCTCTCTCTCTCTCTCTCTCTCTCTCTCTCTCTCTCTCTCTCTCCTCTCTCTCTCTCCTCTCTCCCTCTCTCTCTCTCTCTCCCTCTCTCCCTCTCTCCTCTCTCTCTCTCCTCTTACCCTTTAGGTAGATCAACTGGCTCCACCTGCCTACTTCTCATCTATATACAAGTAGGTCCCATGGCCCAATCCCACAGCTCCCAGAGCAGGGTGAATTGCTACTTTAACCATCCTTGCGGTAGCTCTGCCTAAACTGTAGACTCGCAGAACTTGAGGTCACTCCAGGGTCACTCATTTTGAGGAGGAATAAACTGAGGCTCAAGGTAACTACATCACACCAAAATCACCTTGTTTTAAGGTGCTTAGAAATTATTTACTCCAACCCCTTTATTTTGCAGAGGCAGGAATTGAGGCCTGGAGAGGGGGAAGGGACCTACTCAAGGTCACTACATGAGTCAGAGGCAGAATGAAAAGCCAGGTCTCATGTTTACTTTGTAAATGGACTGGACTAGGGTGGGAGACAGGAGGAGAATGGACATGAGAGCTTTCGACATATGCCTGAATGTTTTTCCTGTGGAATAGGTCATGGGCTTTTTCTATATCATCCCAGGGGCCATAATTGGTAACAATAGTTGAGCATAAACTGGAGGATGACTCATACAGTCTGTTGTAGAGGGGACCTTTGGCCATATATGGCTTGGGGGAGATGACCTCTAAGGTCCCCCACAGTTCTCAGATTTGGCATATCTATAATTCTGTCTTCCTCCTCTTTTCTCTTGGATAAATGTGGGTGTTTGAACTCAGGAGAGGAAAAGGGGAGTCATAAAAAGTTCTGGGAGGCCATAGAAAATAAGTTCAAGAGTTTCAGGAGCTGGATCTGTGACAGATAGGTAATTCTAGGTCTCTAGTAGACTCACAATGTCCAGCCGAACCCAGATTCAGGGTGACTGAGTTTGCTTGGATATGCTAATGTTTGAGGAGGAAAGTGATCAAGAGACAGACTGGGCTGAGATGGAGAAGACCTGGGACCCTAGTGTCAAGGGGATAGAGAGTGGGCAGGAAGCACATGAAATAAAGGGAGACTAAGAATGAACTAGAAGCAGGATATGGAACAGGATCTAGGAGAGGATGGACAGAAGTGAGAAAGTTAGAAGACAGCAGTTGGGTTTAATGTCAGACTACCTGGGTTTGAATTCTAGCTCTGCACTTACTACCTATTTGGCCTTGGACAGGTCACTTTTGCACTGTTTCCTTGGTTTCCATATCCATTGAATGAAGGAATTGGACTTGATGAGATCCCTAAAGTTCCTTTCAGCAGTAAATACCACTTCTTCAAGAAGCTAGAAATGGTACATGCCCACCCAACTCCTGCCTGGTTTGTTATCCACCAGGACATGGTATGAGCCAACCATTCAAGGACAGTTAGGTAAGAAAAGGAAAGAGTGAGTGACGGGGGCAACCAAGTGGTGCAATGGATAGAGCACTGGCCCTGGAGTCAGGAGAAGCTGAGTTCAAATCCAGTCTCAGACCAGACACTTGACACTTACTAGCTGTGTGACCCTGGGCAAGTCACTTAATCCCAAAAAAAGGGGGGGAGTGAGTCAGGAATCAGAAGAGAGGAGTTGGGAAGTGAATACCTGCAAACTTTAAAGACAGGGCAGAAATCACTACTACACAGCAGTCAACAAGTACAGCCCATTTAAGCTTTATTATAGATGGGAAAATACTAATTTCTGGGAGCTATATGGAGGTGAGGATGACATAGGGATGCCTGTGCTATCCCCATCTCTTTGCCTTCTCGTAGACCTGCCTCTTCAATCTCACCAAGCCTCATAACATCAACAAGTCTATTTGGTCTGCAGCAGAAGAATCACAGCTCTAGCGACTTCCTTACCTGTGTTGGGCTTCCTTCCCCAGTGCCCACTCCCCAGTCCCTTGGGGAAGATGATTTCTGAGGCTCCTGGCACTTCAGCATTCAATGCGGACAATCTCCCTCAGATGACCTGAGTGTGACCGTCTCTAAGCCTAACTCTAAATGCTTCCCCCAATTCTCAGAGTAGGATGGCATCCCCATGGGCTTCCTCCAAACCATAGTGTATCAGAGATCTCCATAGCTATTTCTTTTAAGAAGAAAGGAAAACCTGAGGCTCAAAATCACTGAGTCATGGACCACCTAGTTCGAACAGGGTTAAGACACCATCTAGTCTGAGCCCCTCATTTTAATTTTGTTTAAGCAATGCATGTTTTTTTTAAAACCACCACCATTATATCCCCTGAAAGAGACATAGATAAGCAAAACTGACATTGAGAATAACCATATCTGACAGGATAGGCAACATTCTGCACTCCTAGTCATTTACACACATACCCATATGCCCACACATATGTGCACACACATGCACATGTTTGCACACATACATACACATGTACTCACATGCACACATGCACACACACACCCCTCTACCAAGAGGAGGGATATGTTTATTACCCTCTCTTCTTTAGGCCAAGGATCTGGCATGACATTCGTTGAGTTTCCATGGTCTTTGAGGGCTGACATTCGTGGAGCCCTCACCCTAACCCTAACCTTAACCCTAACCCTCCCAAGGCTTCCAGCCATATCAATAGGATCTATACACAATAAAAGTCAGTCCTTCCTCTAGAGGGGCCAGGGGAAGGCTCAGGGATTGGATCATGTGGATGAGAGGAAATGTGGAAGAGCAGTCAAGGGAGTCGGCAGCCCCAGCAGCGTGGTGACCTTGGGTAGGTACTTCTTCTCAGGGCTCCTAGGAGAGTGTGTGGCTGCAGAGGGTGGATACTCACTTGAGCATTGGGAGTATCTGGGTCCTGCTTGGTGATAGCTTGGTCCTGGATCTGCCTGATGTATATCAGGAAGGGAGCTGACAGAAAATTTCAAGATGGCCTGAAGCAAACCTGAATAAACCAGTCTTACCACCAGATGGGCATCCAGCCATGGGTGGGACGAAGAAGAAGCATTCCTTGGTAACTTCCTGCTGGGAGCAGCTGGGTCCTCAGGCCCAAGATGCTTTCCACACGTGTCCTATCCTCTGCTGTTCACTCCTCCTCTGCTCTGCAGAAAGCCTCTGTTGGTTGCACTTCTTCCTTTTCATTTAGGCACCAATATGGAGGCTGGTCAAAGCACGAGTCCCTGGTCATAGCCCCATGGGGCCTGGAGCAATGGAGGGTGAGTTAACTGACTGGATGCTATCTATCTCTGGGGATCCCTAGGGTCCAAGCCCCATAACCAGGCCATTATGTTCCTCTTATCTTTGAAGCTTACATCAATTTCAACCTTGATCTCTGCCACAGGACCACAGAATGCCAGGCTTGCCGGACCTCCCAGAGGCCACCCAGCCTCCCCTTCACATCTCCCTCCACAGTCAACTGAGCCCCTTCTTTACTTCTGTAAGGCTAGAGACCAGGCCCTCCATGTGTAGAGAGAGCCCAAAGGAGGCTCAAAGGAGGCAGAATCAACATCTCTAGCTTCTTCTCCACTTACTCTCCCTTCTCCAAAGGACACTTTAATTCCTGCCACAAGATGAACCACGAGGTTGGGGCTGGAGGCTACCACTCTGCTCTCCTCAGAGAGAAGGGACACTGGGCTATAACTCTGTGCTTCCTTGAATATTGATTGTCTAGGGGATAGAATCAGGCTGCATCTAACTTTTGATCACTCTGTGATTTGGGGGGGAAGGAAACCCCAACTTCTATATCCAAGGCTTGACCCCTTCCCCATCTAATTAATACCAGTTCCACAACACACACACATAGCAAATAAACAAATTGTAGCAAAACAGAAATCATAGGAGATCTCCACAGCAGAATATGGACCAGACAATCCACAGTGATGGTGCTTGGAATCAGCTTCTACTGGCTCATAAAAGACAATTGTTTTTCTGTGCGAGCATTTTTGTCTCTGAAATCAGCAAATGTCCCAAAGCAGGGCTTCATTCACTATCTTGTTGATTTTTAGATAAAAACAAGATGGAGAACATTTTAATAATGCAAATTAACCTAAAAGTGTGTCCTGCATACATTTTTTTCAGACAGCCAGTTGTTAAAGATTTACCAGCATCTCCCCTCATGTCAAGGCAGAACAACAAAGCAGACTCTCTGATAAGCCCTCTAAGAAAGTGCCCTTTCATTCTTCTATTTCCTGGAATGAAATTCCTCATTCTTGTAACTTATTCCCAGAACCAGGAGGACCCAGTGCTCACCACAGCCCCAGACTTCCTTTATGAATGCAGTCCAAGAGAAAGCTGGGAACTTGGTCACCTGGGTCCTGAGGAGTCCTCCCTTTCCCAAGAAACCTTCCCAGAAGCTGTCAGCCAGAGCAACTTCTGGATAAAGAAAGGATGTCTCACACTGGAAGTTCTGTGAGCAGCCAAGGGAACGGCATCTCAGGGGCCAAACCTGGAGAATACCTTTCCCCACCCGCTGCCAGTGCCCTAACCCTCATCACTGTCTGCAAGGTGTTTCTTTAGTGTGGGAAATGACTTCTTGCCATTTGTTGAATAATTTATTAATTCTTATAGAGGGAAACCAAATTGTGAGGTGTGGCAATGTGACAATTTGTGGGGGAGGGAGTTGGGGCTCCCCATTATCTCTTTACTTTGCCCTTGACAATTTGGGGGTGGGGCTAAGAGTGTGCAGTACCTGTGTAGCTAAGGCTGAAGGTGACCAAGGCTGCTATCTCTGTGAGTCGAGCAGTCAAAATTGGCTAAGACTGACTTTGAGGAAGCAATCCAGACCAACCTGAACTCATCCATTCAGGAGTTTGAGGAGCCCCAGGGCCACTGAGAATCTGATGCTGCAAGGGGTCCCCAAGCCAAGCCCCCTCCCAGCACCTTCCAAGACGGCCAAGAAGGAAAAGTCCAGCTCTGGTGTCAGGCCAGGCAACAATTTCCTTTCTCTTCCTTTCTTTCCCTTTTGGGGAATGTTTCATCTCATCCTTCTGAATTAAGTTCAGACCTCTGTCAGCAGGAGTGTTGAACTTGCTTAGAAATGCATCTTGTGAAGATGCATGTCATCTCTCAGACATTCCTGTCACAGATACCCTGGAGAGGGTGACGATCTGCTGGTAGATGTCTTTGGTGCCATCAGGGAGATCACTCCAATCTCAGCACCTGCTCTCTTTCAACACAGCTCCTCTCTGTGGGCTCAAAGACTGCAGGACTGAGCCCACATAGGGACCAACTCAGGTCCACAAACATTTATTATATTAAGCATTTACTATGTACAATGTAGATTTTCTTATGCTCAATAATGTCCCATTGCAATCACATCCCAAAGTGTGTTTAGCCATTCCCCAGGAGGTAGTCACCACTGTAGTTTACATTTTTGGGTTACTATAACAAGACCTGCTATAAATACTTTGGTACAGACATTCCTTTTCCTCTTCCTTGATCTCTGTGGAGAGATCTCTTTGGAGCCTTAGCAGTGGTATAGCTGGGCCAAAGTGGTATAGCCACTCTGGGGCCTCCAACATTTCATAGCTCCACTCACAGTGTACAAATACCTTCCTAGAACCGTGGAGGAGCAGTTTGGATTGGATTTGGAACCAGAACTGGGCTTCACAAAAGCATTGTTCTCTTATGAAGGCTCTTTCCAGACCTGCTGGTATTGGAGGAGGAGGACATAATGCTGGGGCCATCGGGGTAGAGTAGATACCTCAGGGCTTCCAGAAACAATCTGTCATCCAGACAGATCTGGGGGTCTGGATTACATTTGTGTAGGTAGCTTCCCATCCCAAACTAGGCCAAAATGAAGGCCTAAATTGCAAGTGAAAGGTGACCATGGCTCCTATGCTCACATGGTCAGTAAACCAAGTGTGAACCTTTAACTCTGTTATTTGTTCAATGTCTAGAAACAAAGTCTGATCCTAAAAGCATATCTGTTTGGCCTCATAATCCAGTCAACAAACCCTCCCCACATCCCAGAGAGTTTTCCCTGGGACATACAAGAACGGATTGAGAGAATCCCTCCAACCTCCTTTCGAACAAATGACAACTGAAAACATGATTTTGAAAGGTCAAGTCAGTTCCTGGAATGCTCTAATTGATGCCCAAGCCTAATCAGAGCTAACATTGTTACAGCTTCCCCAAGTTGACCAAGCTATGGCAAAGTGTCAGTCACCACCAAGAGTACTCCTGTCTACTTTCCTCCCTCATGCCAGCCCTGTCCCCTTCCCACTCCTGGCCTGTCTGGGTCCACACCCACGAGCAAAAAGTCTGGCAAAAAGAATACCAGGGATTGCTGCCAAGTGTGGTCCAAGCACCACATTATCAGAATTGTGGGGCCATGTTAGACTGTTTCCCTAAGGGGCTATGCATCTTCCAGATGCTCTGTGCCCTGGGACCTCACTGTGCCTGAAGTTAAGGAAACAATTCAAATTTGGTAAGGAAGGAAGTAAATCCCTAACACTGAATTTATCAAAAGCAAGCCTTTACTCAAATTGTGTGTGCAAGGACAACCCGGGGCTGGAATTTAGATTAGACCATCTCTCTCCATAGAGTAACATTCACAAAAATATTTTTATACATTCCAAGAGAATAAAGACTATATTTTACTACCATTAACAGTTGGCAGAGGAAAAAGCAAACATGCGATTTAATTCTGAGAAAGGGGACACCAATCAATAAATATTTATTAAGCACCTATTCCATGCTGCCCCATGCTTAGTATCCTCAGGATACCAAGAACGGCAAGTGCAGTTAATGCCCGTCCAATAAGCAAATAAAACCAAGGTGCATTCTATGTTTCAGATAACACTCCACAGTTCAGACCTCACTCTGTTGCCCCCTTATGGATCAATGCCTAATCGCTTCATTAAAAATATGCACTTTACTACCAAAAAATTATTTTATAGAGTTACAAAAAATAATAACAAGATTCATTTGCAAAAACAAAAGGTCCAGAATATCAAAGGAACTAATGAAAAGAAATGCAGGGGAAGGTGGCCTAGCA